AAAATACTGTATATTTTTGTTCTTTTTTTAAAAAAGTGTGTTAAAAATAACAAAAAATTGCTTGACAACTAAAAATTTATAAAGCCAAAACGAATGATATATTTTCTTGAAATGTGAATATGACGAAATAAACTATGTCAACCAGGTTATTCAAAATGAATATGTTGTCATATTTGATAGAGTAGACATGTCAAATTATCATTTATGTCAAATTGAAAACGACAACAAGTGATTTGAAAAAGGTCGATGCTCAAGATTTGTTTATCATTAGTTTTAATTAATGACAATTTTATTAATAGTAAATGGTTTTTAATTTGCGATATTGAGTATAGTAAATAATGGTTTAATTTTTTGGTCTAGTTCTTTTCTTTGTTATATTTTTAGAATATCGTTAAATATAAAACAGACTTTATTTTATATTCAAAATTACATAAACAAAAATATTTATTAAACTGAATTTAAAAAACAACATGAGTGAATTAAAAAAAGTGATAATTAAATTGTGTGTTTGTGGAGACAAAAAAACAGGCAAAACTTCTCTTGTTCGAAGCTTCATGGATTTGCCCTTTTCAGATGAAGTTGTGTCATTTGACGACAGATTTGTTTGTTTATCTTAAAAACTGAACTTTCATATAACTATTTTCCAATAAAAACAATAATAACTTTTTGTTTTATTTAAATCATTAATTCTTACAGTTAGGTCCAACAAAATATTTTATATAATAGCAATAACTTTGAGTTGTCATACTATGATTTAGTAGAAGATGAAAGCTCACTTAATGCAAGTTATTGGAATCACGCACGTGTTTTAATTTGTGTAATTTCACTCGACAACTTGGACATAATAAACAATTCAAAAAATTGGTTTTCTTATGGAGATAGGTACATTCCACGAATGTACCTTCGATATGTTGTTGGTACAAAATCGGACTTACAAGAAAGAGTCTATTCATATGAAGAATGTGTGACTCAAGTAACTAATTTAAATGCAACATACTTTGAAGTTTCAAACAAAACTGGGTTTGGAATTAAAGAATTGAAAGACCAAATAATTCTCGATCTGTACAACTACGTATATCCACGTGGAGAATTTGATCATGAATGTGTAAAAAAGAAATCTAAAAAAGGGTGTCAAATGGTTTAATATTTGATTTATTAAACAATGGAAAAGTTAGAATTGAATTTAATAGTTTTTTATATGCAAAAACATTTAAAATAATAATAATTAAATATCGTATGTCATCTTGTCAAATCAATAAGTTTTTTATAATACACGTTACGTTACATTGAAATTTGATACATTTTCAATTATTATTATAGTAAGGAAAGTGAAAAGTTTGGCACATGAGAAAAAAATAATAAATCATTAAGTTGATTTTCTATATATTCAGTAAGCCAACTGAACTATTATTGACTCAAATAGGTTGGGTATTTTCATATTAAAGTAAAATGTGTTAAAAGTCTGTATAGATGTTTAAAATCCACTTTACTCTCAGATTTTAATGATTTTATATTTGATGAAACAATTAAATAGTGTTCATTTATTTATAAGATAGAAAAATAATGTTTTTGAATTTTAAGACTATATGCTGGAAGGAAAAAGACATTTTAAATATATTAGTTCGAAAAGATATACTTTTTTGATATTTTTGTATCAAAATATCAAGTTGGGAATGAAAATTATTATTCAATTGTTAGTTTGTCAAGATGAACAAAAATTTAAATTATGTGGAAAGGTAGTTCTTAGTATTAACGAAATGGAAGTAATTTGTAAATAGGAAGTTCTAAATTTGGATGTGATAGAAAAGGTTTTGTAAGTAATAAATTCATTAAAAGAATATCAAAGTTGTATAAAAATATTTAGAAATAAAAAAGAAGAATATCCAGAACATGAAATGATGGTTGATCAACAAAAATGAATTTATTGACTAAAAAAATGGTTAAAAGTAACACATAGATGTAATAAATATTCAAAAATAACAATTTATACCAATTTTATGGTATCATTTTTGTATTTACAGTTAGTTTCATTTTGTTTAATAATTTTTTCAAAATTATAATGTTATTTTTCAAAATAATGATAAAAATGTACCTTTAATCAACACCGTTTCAAAACAATAATTAATTGTTTCAAATTAATGAATAATTGTTTCATTAAATGATTTATTTTACAATAATTATGACTAATTGTTGAAAAAACTTGTTTTTTTGTTTCAAATTTTTAATTATTTGTTTCAAAACTGTGTTTGAATTCTCAAAACAATAAACACAAACAAACAATGAAAACAAACACATTTTGACAATAACTAACGGGGAAAATAAAAAATATATATATTAAACACCAT